AGCCTGGTGTGGTCTTTTTGTTCCTTCTGCCATCTGCCTGTCTCTGGCCAGCAGCCACCTAGCCATGCTGACGCAGCTGCGGGCTTCCTTTGGAAAGAACTGGGCTGTTTTTGTGACTGACTATGAAACAGAAACACATTTTCATATTAAAGGGTTACAACTTTTTTTTTTTTTTTTTTTGCAGTAACTTTAATAGGTTAGCCTTTTGTTAAGGCTAACTAACTTTAGCGCCTGTTTTTTCAAATGTTCCTACTTCGATCTACGCCTCATTTAACTAAAAAAAAGTCCTCAATTTTAGCTGAGTATTGGTCAGAATCTTGCGATACGATACATATCACAATACAGGGGAAACAATACTATATTTTGCGATATAGTGCGATACCGGTTTTTGTAAACAATTTACTTGTAGGAAAACGGACAGCACAGTAAACGCACTATGCTGTTCCTTGCATAACATCGGGTTACTAAATATTAGAACAGACGGATCGATATTTATAATCGCAAAATAAAAACGAACCAATGCCATGTTAATAAAAAAAAAATCCTTGTTCGGTGCTGTAGAATATCGATACATAATCATGAAACTAAATATCGCGATATTTCAGTGTATCAACAATTTCTTACACCCCTAGTTGCCTACATTTATCTATAAAAAAAAAAAAAGCAATTTTGAAAATGCAAGATGCAGACATAAAACTGGTCAGTCCAAGAATCAATTCTATTGCATCCATCCCCGGTTCAAATATAGATTCCCTGGTAACAATTTAAAAGCGCTATAAAACACAGCTGGTTCTCTGGCACTGAAATGGAGCGGTGTTCTTAAGACACAAAAAGGGAGCAGCCAGTAAAAACAGCAGGCCCGCAGGCAAGGAAAGCAGGGGGAGAGAGGTGAGGAACGACAAGAATGGCAGAGCTGCTCACTGCTTAATTAGAAACAGGTGAGGTAATAGACCACGGAGGCCTCACAAGACCAACAGACACCTACAGCAGAGAAGCCTGAAGTTGACCTATTGCAACGATGTGTTTCATAACAGCCACTTTGGCAGAGCAAAGACGAGGGCTGGTATGCGTGGTATTCATAGTTGAAAAGGTCGATTGCCGGTGTACGTGCTAATAAAGAACATCACTTGGTGTGGTGTGGATAAAAGTGTATATATATATCACTTCCTGTTCAAGTCGTTTGCCTCAGAAATCAGTGCTAAGACCAACCTTCAACTCAGAGAGTTTAATTTGTTGGCAGCAGGGTAGAGTTAAGGAGTATAAATTCACATTATGTTTATTCAAATCCCTAAATCGGAATTCAAACTCAGTCCTCATCGCCTGCAAAGTTTCAACGAATTGATGCTGCACAGATGTTACTTTGGTTGTTGCTCCAAGTTTTGCGAAAGGGGCTGAGCTCTCTGTCAGGTATCTACGGAGAAAATATTTTGTTTTGGAGTTATCTGATTGCTTTCAGCATGTCACTTTGGAAGCTTGCCCCCCTTATTAAAAAGTGTCTGGTGAGAAGTTATGTGAATAAGAAGAGTCAGCTGTACAGCATGTTTCGCCCTGCTGTCCAGCAAAATCAATAATAAAGTCTAAAAAAGTGTACAATTCTTTTCTGTCATTCTGAAATAACAACTAAGCATATTAATGAAATGACCTTCATAACAATTAAAAATATATATTATATATCACAATTAAAAATATATATGATATATTAAAAATATATATTATATATAAATATTCATAACAATTAAAAATATATATATATACATAAATGTATATTTTTTATAAATTCCTCAAGGGTAAAATTTAATAATCTTGGCATCAAGTTGAGGGCCGATGTTTTCCAAATTTGTGGGCCATAAGTGGTCCCCGGACCAGGAGTTTGACACCGCTGGTCTAAACTATCTGCAGTCAAACAGCAGTAGCATACCCGTTACTACAACACTTGCGCTACCAAAATAGGGCTAAATCACACAGCGTGTGATTCGAACCGAGGGAGGTCGGTCATTAACAGAGCAAGCGCTTAACTACAAAAAGTATTTAATGCTACAGAACCACCACAGCAAAATTTGATGCTGAGCGTTACTTTGGGACCAACAAATAGTAAAGTGGGAACAAATGCTCTTCGGTTATCACTCACCAAGCCAAATTGGAACAATTAGCACAGCGAGAGCAACACATTTAACCATCAGATCCGCTGGCTTTGGCTGTTCTCTTTGTACTTTGATGTCAGGCTACTGTAATAATGTGGTGGTTTTGGCTCTTTATGGCCGTTCCGCTCGTTCAGCGCTACCAGCCACGTGTAGCATTTGGGGTACAGTGGACCTGCCTTTAGATAAAATGTTACTGTTACTGATGAGAATATGCACCTTGTTTGATTTGATTAGGCAGTAGTTAAGACAAATAAACTGTAAATGGACCGATATTGACTATTATAATAATGACATGTTAATTCCTGTTTTTCCATTTTTCCAAATTTTATGATAAAGAAGCGCCTAGGAACGGAGCTGCAAATAAATGTGGAAATGCTGATTAATTTTTTAATTACGGCTGAATGTATTAATCAATTACCTATTCTAAGTCTGAGTCTGTCCTAAAAAGTTTATTGTCACAGTCATTAGTTTAAAGTGTTCTTTAAGGCGGGACAAGTTTAACTGTATAGTGCAGTGATTCTCAAATAATGGGGCGTGCAGCCTTGAGAGGAGGCGTTGAGGTGTCACAGGGGGCTTTAATTTTACTGTCTTTATTTATTGCTTGATTGGTAAATAAGCCTCCAGTCACTAGATGGCAGCACAGCAGCTCATTTTAACAATCTATTTTGATAATCAGGGGGATTGCTGGTGCTGGTCCCAGCAACTCATACAATGGTTTGTAAATATTAAAACAGTTAAAGAGTGAAGTAAACTATTCCACTGTTAGAAGATTTTTAAAAAATAAATAAAAAAGTTTGAACGCTCATTGAATTACAATTACAGCTTAGTAAAACTAAAATCTTTAAAGTCTATAAATAAAGCTCCCCCTGCTGGTAAAGTACCATAAATGATTGGATAGTTTCTTCAAATCAGGGAGAGACCGAGAACGAACAGAGCCCTTTCATTCCCCTAAGCCAGGCATGGCCAAACTAAGGACCGGGGACCGGATGAGGCCCGTTCAGCTTTGTAATCCGGCCTGCCAAACTTGTCCATATTATGTAATGAATTTGTAGTGTGACTGTATTTCTGCCTTCTCCCTGCAATACCCACGTTTCCCCAAAAGATGGCGTAGAAAATGATAAAAGCATTTTAGCATTTATGCATGACTTTTACATGTCATTTATCTTAGTTCACACAAAATTCTCCAAATTCAATCCACTTTTAAGGTAAATACAAGGTAAAGCATGATGCAATATGGTATACAGTATAAGAGTAAATAGTGTTCAAGCTGTACCATCTAACAGGGTATTTACCAACAACAACTATGCTTTTACTGGACAAAATAAAATCCAGAAAGGAGTAGAAAACATTTAACATTTCACAATATACTATTATATACTAATACTATTATACCTTTATGTTAAAAGTGCTAATTATGGCACGTGTCTTCTCGTATCTAAGGGTTGCTAACAAGGCATTTCCCATTTTTTAATGCTAAAATTCAGACACAAACATTAGGGTCTAATGAGTGAAAACCACAAAACATATGCCATAAATTATCAACCAGTGGCTGACATTTCAACAACATAACTTTCCCTTGATGGTGCGTGTCAGGGTTGTGGTTGGTCTTACCCCAGGATGTGTTCACAGATGAGCCTGCAATAGTCGCTGTGAGAGCTGGTGATGAGCAGGAGGACCTTCCCGGCATTCTTCATGCTCTGCAGCCAGTTCTTGACCGCGTCAGAGCAGGGCTGCAGATACCGACCGGGTTCCCTCTTCACACTGGGGAAATATGTCCCTGCATCCTCTGCACAAAGAACAAAAACAGGAAAAAGTTAGAAAAGCAAGCAAGTCACTAGAGAACACATAGAGAACATTATATATATATATATATATACACACACATACATATATACATACATATACATATATACATACATATATATACATACATATACATATACACTCACTGTTATATTCTATTTATTTTACACTATATATATATATACACTGTAAATGTGTGTGTGTACATATTCAAAATGTACATACATGTTGGATTTCTCAAATCAGTTAATTATTCTATTTTTAATATTAAATATTTCAAACATTAATATATATATATTGACCTTTTTTTTTAAACATAAAGTAAACTGTATTCGATTTAAAGCAATGACAATGGCAAAACATTGATTAATTGTCAACCAAACTCTTTCTTTTCAAAGCCTTTGTCCACCGGAACGTTCCAGAACGTTGTATTTACTGTTAACATTCACCACGGTAGAGCTACGTCATTAAAACAGGGGTCTAATTTGTATTTCAAATACTGTAACGTACAACCGTACAAAAGACGTTCAATGAACAAAAAAAAAATAAAGTGAAATTATCGCGTGTGTATGTTAAGTATATAGATAACAACGCTAAAGACCTTCGTGTTGACTGTCCCTGACGTTGTAGCAGATCGTGATGCAGGTCCCGACAGCGTTACTGCAGATATGTAAGGAAATGCTGCCCTCTTGTGGCTAAACACGGTTCGAGCTTGAAAAATATATAGAAAAGCTCAAAGGATGCAGTGAACACTGGGAACCAGTTGATGACGACAAACACAAGCAACTTCAAATGTCCCCGACGTGAACTTCTGGGGTCTAATGTTATACCAATTTCTTCTGAGGATTTTATTACCTTCACAGACCATTTCCCCTTAAAATAAACAGAAAAGGGAAAGTCATGCCGACAAGCACTTGGCCATTTAGAGGTGGCTTGGTCTACTGGGAGCTCAAATGCGTCACTACCTACAACAGGGGAAGTCAGCTGATAGAGCTGACCAGTCAACATATTCTTTAAACAACCAAACAATACCGTTCTTCATACAATATTTAACCAATCTGATTAAAGGACGTCGTTAAAGAAACGGTTTAATCCCACAAGGACCTGACATTTACCACCCAGGCACACTGCAGACCCAAGGTCCTGCAGATGGTTCTGACTTAAGTCACAGTGCATTAGAACAGTCACAGAAGAGGATTTAAATATAAAGCCTTAATCTAAGAAAAAAAAAAATTAGAACATTTCCAGAAACTTCCAGAACAACCTCAACATCTAAATGTCTAAATGTCACTGCAGTTTCTTCTTAAACCACAAAAAAGTTTTTTTTTTTTTACAAGACAAACAGATTTAGAATAGCCAAGTTGACCCAAAGATGATTCGTAGATTGACGATGTTGTTGGTTCCCCAGCAGAAAACACAGAGTAAGCTGAAGGAGAAGCTAAGACAGCAGTAACCAAGGCAAAGGTAAAAGAGTTGAATGATAGGTCTGACAGTAAGAAAGGGGGAAGGAAAGGGTTTTTTGGACCGGATAACATACCCTTGGAGGTACGGAGATGTTTAAGAGAGATTGGTGTTTAATGAAATGGCATGATGCCTGGTGAATGAAGAAAGAGGGCACTTTAACCAACGTTCTAGAACAAGGTTGGCGTTCTATGTTGTAGTAGTAACTACTAGGCCAT